CGTAATTGAGTAACCAGGAGTAATCGAGTGAATATACAGTTTACAAAATGAGAAAAAAAATTACCAGCTATGCATCTGATAGAGGGTTAGTATCTAGAATATACAAAGAACCAAAAAATGAAGCATTTAGAAAACTTTCTTTATTTCTTAATAAATAATTTTGACAAATCTAGGAGTTGTGGGGGATGAATATTATTAAAATATATTGCACGAAATTCTCAAAGAACTAATAAAAATGAGGAAGATCCTATTTGTCAATTATTGTTTTTGATGACTATTATCAGGGTCTTTTCCAGAAAAGACTTTCCTGTGCCTATAAGCTCCAGTGTATTCCCTACTTTCTCTTCTGTCACATTCAAGGTCTAAGGTCTAACACTGATGTCCTTGATCCACGTGGAGTTGAGATTTGTTCAGAGTAAAGATAGGTATCTAGTTTCATTTTTTTATATGTAGCTATCCAGTTTGACTAGCACCATTTGTTGAACATGCTGTCCCTTGTTCAATGTGTTTTTGGTTCTTTTGTCAAAAATGAGGTATATGGACTTAAATTTGAGTTTTCAATCTATTCCAATGACCGATGTGCCAGTTTTTATGGCAGTACCATACTGTTTTAATTACTATATTATTATTACTATTATTATTATTGTATTATAATTTGAAATCAGGAATGGTAATGTTTCCATCTTTTATTATTCAGGATTGTTTTTGTATCCTGCTTTTTTGGTGCTAGTTCTTTATTATTATTATTATTATTATTATTATTTTTACAGAATTTTTGTAAATTTTAGAAACATATTTTGATCATATTTAGATGCCCTCCCCTACCTGCACCCATCTTACAGCCTCCTACCAGAATCCTGGGATGTTTTTGTGTGTTTATGTATGAAATTGAGATTACTTTTTCAATTTCTGTGAAGAATTGTGCTGGAATTTTTTAAAGGGGGATCGTGGTTAATCTGCAGATGGCTTTTGATGGGATGAACATTTTCACAACATTAATCCTATAGATCCAGGTGCATAGGAGGTCTTTCTAGTTTCTGGAATCTTCTTCATTTTCTTTCTTCACTGTGTTAAAATTTTTATTACACACGGTCCTTCACTTCCTTGGTTAGGTTTATTCCAAGATATTTTATGTTTTTTGAGACTGCCATGAATGGAATTACTTCTTTGGTTTCTCTCTCAGTATGTTTGTTGTTATTATAAGAAGGCTACTGATATTTTGTGCTAATTTTGTATCCTGCTACTTTGCTGAATGTATCTGCTCTAGGAGTTTTCTGGTGAAGTCTTTAGGATCTCGTATGCTAAGAATCATATTATCTGAAAATAAGGATATTTTGACTTCTTTACTTTCATTTTCTAATCCACTTTATCTCCTGCATTTGTTTTATTGCCTGAGTTAAGACTTCAAGTACTGTATTAAACAGGAGCGGAGATATCCTTCCCTTGTTCCTGACATGTATTGGAATATTCTGAGTTTTTCTCCATTTAGTAGAATGTTGGCTGTGTGCCTCTTGCATATTGCCTTTATTATTTTGAGATATGTCCCCTCTATGCCTACATTCGCCATGACTTTTTTCATGAATGACAAATGGGATTTCAATTAAAAATAAATTGGGGCAAGGAACTAGTTCTCAAATGATGAAACACAAATGGTTGAGAAATATTTTTAAAATGATTAATATCTTTAGCTAGCAGGGAAATGCAAATTAAAACCACTTTTAGATTTCATCTTACTAAAGTCAGAATAGCTAAGATCCAGAAAACAAATTATGACAAATACCAGAGAGGATGTGGGGAAAGGGGAACTCATCGCTTGTGGGAGTGCAAATTGATTTAGCAACACGGAAATCAGTGTGACGTTTCCTCAAAAAGCTAAAAAATAGCTCTACCGCATGATTAAGCCATACCACTCTTGGGCATATATTAAAGGATTCTTTGTCCTGCTACAGAGATACCCATTAAATCTAAGTTCATTGCTGCTCTATTCACAAGAGCCAGAAAATACAAACAACCTAAATGTCCATCAACAGATGAATGGATAATGAAAGAATGGTACATTTATACAATGGAATTTTAGTTGTTAAGAAAAATGAAATTATGAAATTTTCAGGTAAGTGGATGGAACTGGAAGAAATCATCCTGAATCAGGTAGCCTAGATCCAGAAAGAGAAACATCTCATGTTCCCTCTCCTAAGCGGATGGCAACTCTTAATTCTTAGACACATGTTCTCTCTCATAAGTGGATGCTACCTCTGAATCCTTAGATATGCGTGTTTCAACTGGAAAATCCATAGAGCTCAGGAAACTAGTAAATGGCCTTGAGGGTGGGGTGGCCTTCTTGGGAAGGGTGATAGAATGCAGTGACATAAAGAGTGAAAGGGGCAATAATAGAGAAGGAAAGGGTTAAAGGGGATGGGGAAGGTGAGGGGAGGCCAGAGGAGGGAGCTTGGGGAGGAAACCCCAATACTTAAGGCCCTTAGAAAAAGCCATATGCAAACCTACCATCATAGAAGTTTCTTAAAGTATACATACACATATATACATATATTTAAAATATAAAATGATGTTATAACATGTTACCATATAACAGGGGGACATTGCCCATACTAGACACCATAGGCTAGAAAAGAAAAAAAATCAATGCTAGGAATGGACTCCTCTTTAGGCACTGTTGACCAGGGGTCCCATAGACCCTCAAGCAATACTGACCATTGTCTCTGCTCTTGGTAATACACCAGAACTTGATGGAAAGACCCTATTGCTGAAAATACTATATGCATGGATTGTAGAACAAACAGGGACAAATCAAGCTGGTGATGAATTCAAAGTTTTATCTCTACTGGCTAGTTTTCATAGTGTTGGAAGGGGCTATGCTTGCTACTGCAAGAGAAAGGGAATCATCAACCTTGCCCAGCTGTGAATCCTGTGAGCTACAATAATAATTGACTGGCAAGACAGGCCCACTGATGCAGTAGTGGCAGAATATTAAGGGAGTGACCGACCACATCTAATTGGATTTAAGGATGGAGCTCATACTTGGTATGATATCATGCTTAGGAATCTGCATCTAGACAGGCCACAGGCCACAGTGGAGCAGCTTCTACCATTTTTTTCTGCTGAATGGATGTAGGATTAAACTGACTCTTAATGACATTGTTACGCTCACAGATTAATGCATCTCCTCACTTTCAGCAGAGAAGATTCCTCATACAGCAGATGGTGACTAACACAGAGATTCACAAGTGGTTAATGTGCAGACAATTAGAGACTGCAGAGCACTTAGCCTTGAATAGGACACCTCTGTCAGCACATCAAGCCTCTGTCTCTCAAGGCTCAGATACCATCATGGAAGAGGAGGGCAGAGAGAGCGTAAGAGCCAAAGGAAACAGAGTTGTGACAGCAGTGGTGACAGCATGCACAAGACACAGGTAAGCTCAAGTCAGACAAAATTCAAGCAAAATTCCAGCAAAGAAGGAGGGAAGTGGTAGGAAACCTGGACCTTAGCTGAGGATCTATTGGTAACTGATAGCTCCTGGGAGAGATTAGGGGAGGGGTTCTGAATAAGATCAAATATATTGTATAAAATCCTCAAAAATTCCAAATGGAGAAATGATTCAGTGGTTAAGAGTACTGGCTGCTCTTGAAGAGGACCCAGGTTCAAATTCCAGCACCCACATGGTGTTTAACCACCATCCTAACTCCAGTTCCAGGGGATCCAACGTCATTGTCTGACCTCTATGGGCATTACATGGCACAGGTGCACTTGCATAAATGCAGGTAATACACTCATGCACATAGAATAAAAATAATAAAAAAACCCTGAAAAAATCCAAAAAGATCAATAAAAATGAGGAAGAAAAAAATTTTAAAGTTCAAATTTCTCTCCTGTTATGATCTGGTTTAGAAATGAAATTCAAAAAGAGAACAACCCTGTGCAGAGGTTCCTTTGGATATTTCTATTGTTTTCATCTTAGAATTAATGAATTTTATTTGGAGATCAATCATTCGACCTACTGAAACTCAGAAATTTTGGAAAGTCTTAATACTAGGAGATTCTAGACTATTCTGCCTGATGACCCATTTGTCTGTCTTTATACTAAGACCACATTGTTTTGATTAGTATAGCTTTGCAAGAACTCTTGAAATTAGAATTTTTTGGTCTTTTTTTGGAGACAGGGTTTCCCTGTAGCTGTAGCTGGCCTGGAATTCACTATGTAGACCAGGCTGGCCTTGAACTCACAGAGATCTGTCTGCCCCTACCTCCTGAGTTCTGGGATTAAAGGTGTGTGCCACCATGCCCAGCTGTGAAATTAGATATTACAAAGAGTTTAGCATCACTCAGTTTCAATGATGGTCTCTTCATGTTTGCATATAAATTTTAGTGGCAATTTAGAAATTTATACAGAATACAATTACAAAATACAATCTTTCTGAAAATTTTATTTGTATTGTATTAAATATACTGATTGAATTAAAAATAACTGGTATCACAGAGTCTTTCAACTTCTGAACATGATACATTTCTCTCTTTAATTCCTTTAATTTCTTTCAAAAAATTTTAGAGTTTATTCAGTGTTCAGGTATTTAAAGTATTTCATCATATTTATCTCTAAATAATATATATATTATATATGGGTCTGAAGAATGGGTGACTAGCCTGCTTCCTAAAAACCTTTTTCTCCATTGGCTTTAGTATCTTATTTTTTCCTTTGGTGTTTTTATATATATGTCTCCCTGTAGCTCCAGCTGGCCTGCAACTCTCTATGTAGACCAGGCTGCCTGCCTCTATTTCCTGTGTGCTGGAACTAAAAACATGTGCCACCATGCCCAGCCTATATTTTATATTTTCGATGTTAATATAAATGATATTTTTTATCAATTAACATTTATAAATGTTCATTTCTAGTACAGAGAATTGTGATATTTCCAGATTAATTTTGAATATTAAAAGTTATGGGACTGGAGACATGGCTCAGCAGTTTATAGCACTGGCTGCTGTTGCAGAGGACCTGTATTCAAGTCCCAGTACCCACACTGTGGCTAACAAGCATACATAATTCTAGTTCTAGGGGATCCGACATCCTCTTCTGGCCTCCGTGGGCTTTGCGTGACACAGATGCATTTACACACATGTAGGCCATACACTCATATAAAAAAAGTTGCTATGCTTACTCCTTATTTCTAGAAAATTTCATAATTTTAACAAAATTTCTACATGGATATTCATACTGTCTGTGGATAAAGATAATTTTACTTCTTCCTTCCTTTCCGACCAATGTGGAGTCATTTTATTTACTTTTTTACTTACTGCACTGACAGAAGACAGTACATTGTAAATACAAAATAATGGCATTAACTTTTCTCACATTAGTTACTATCTTTTTTTTTTTTTTTTTTTTTTTTTTTTTTTTTTTTGAGACAGGGTCTCCCTGTAGCTCGAGCTGTCCTGGAACCCCCTGTAGCTCCAGCTGGCTCAGGAACTCACTATATAGAGCAGGTTGACCTTGAACTCACAGAGATCTGCCTGCCTCTGCCTCCAGAGTGTTGGGATTAAAGGCATGCCTCATGTCACTCAGTATATTAATGACTATCTTAAAGGGAAAATATTTAGTCTTATATCATTATGTTCTACCAATTCTTGAGAGAATTACTGAAAATATTAGACTGAAATTACTGCAATATTCTGGATTTGTTTATTTCTTTTTGTAATTTTGTCACTTTTCTGTTATTGATGGGTATATTCTCTGTTATGAAATGCATGTTGTCTGGTATTAATAAAGCCATGTTAGCATTCTTATGCTTCTTGTAGTCATGGCATGTCTTCTGTTTAGTTATTACTTTTGACAGTTTAAGACATATTGATAATGTAATGTGATCATATTTATCCCCTTTTACCCTCTTACCGGCTTCCCACTTCTACAGACCCCTTTCTTCGCCCTCCGACTTTCAACTCTTTTGCAGTAGGCGCAGTTACTGTGTACTCCTCATGGAACAGCCAAGTCACACCCCGAAGACAGCGTTTCATAGCCCTCCCTCCCATCCTTTACCTCTTATTGTCTTTCTGCCCCTTTTCTGTGATGTTTCCTCACTAGAGTTATTCACGTATTGCTCTTTTCCAGGGGACATTTTAGTAACATGGAAATAGTTTGATCATCTGGGGTATGCTTTTTAAGATTTGTCAGTTCAGAGCTTGCTCGCTATTGAGGTGTGATTCTTCTATATCCTGAATAAAGAATGCTCTGTGGAACTCGAGGTCCTCCAGTCTTAGTGTCAGGAAGCCACTAACCTTTGCTTTATGTAGCACTGGACAGGGTCTTTAAAATATTTTTAAATGATTATTTCTATAGTTCTAGTTAGCTTGCTCAGCTGAATTTTTGAGGTAGACTCTGCTTTGAAATCCATTGTTTTATGTGTATTTCTTACTTTCTCCTTACTTCACATGGTTATTACTTCCTTCTATCCCATCTTAGATGTAAAAGTACTGATATTGGAAAAGTCTTTGCATCAGCAGAGCCCATGGAGTTGACGGAGGCAGCAGCAATGGCTCTAGGGTGGTTACAGAGTGTCAGGCTGAAAGTTCTCTAGGTACCAGAAGCTCTCGGACTTAGTAATTTGGATGTGGTCTTATTTATGATTGTCTGGCTTGACATTGTCTATTTTTGCATAGTTTGAGCTTCCGTGCCCTGTGTTGTGCCTTAAAATGTATAATTGTGACATTGAGCAGTAAAAGGAAATGAGAAACCGACCAAAATTCATGTTTGTTTTCATACAGATGTAATTTAAATTACTTCAAAAGTTAAGATACTCATTTCTACATTCAAATTATTCTCCAATTTCCTAAACTGTTCTCTCATTATTTTCACTTTAAGAAAAGCCTGATGACACTGATCTTATATGGCTAGTGTGGAGGGTAAGGAAGGGTTAAAGAAACCACAGTCTCTTTCCTTGGCCAGAATTTCAGTAAATTAAAGCCAGGGCATGGAAAGCAGAGGCACTGTCCCTGGGGATCCTTGTTTTGGGTTAGCTGGACATGGGAGCCAGAGCCTGAGAGACCAAGATTCTCTAGGGCTTTGGGGAAGGGAGGACCAGACCACTTGACTCAACAAGGATCTAATCAAGGTTCGCAAAAGTGAAAAAAAAAGGGCAAGAGGTAAGGAAAGTGACTGTATGGAGATAAGTTGACAGTTACTCATGGAGTTCCTCTGTAAATTTACTGTTTTTCCTCTAGCTGTTTGATAACGTTAGGAAGAAAATTGGAGAAAGAACCTCACATGAAAATGAGTTTCTTTTGGCCTTTTCTTACTCTAACTTCACACTGGGGATTGGCCTAAATGTCTCAGCTAGCAAAGGCACATTTGGGAAGGACTCTAGAGACCCATCTACCCAGTGTCCCTCCTTCCCCACACAGCTAGGCACATCCTCCTAGGATGCGGATGCTGGGAAGGAAACCAGAAACATAGCAGGCTGGTGTTGGGTATCTGCTGATGGACCCTCTGGACACAACGTACACCCCCATCAGGGAGGAGCAAAAAGAGGGAGGCTGGAGGACTGTGAATAAACAGCCCTGATTAGAAAGCCCACAGGAGTAGGTGGAGACAGAAAGGACTGGGCTTCAGTGTAGTCTGCCAGATGTCCTTCAGGAAGAGGGCACACGATCCTTCAGGACAGCTGAGGTGAGTGCAGAAGGCGTGTGGTGGGTGTGTGGATTCCCTGTAGCTAAGAACCTTCCATTTCGCCCGTTGAGAGAATGAGAAACCGGGGTGTGAAGAATCAGATGTACAGGGCTTGGGCTATGGAGGAAGCCTCTCACCCAAGGGACAGGCAGCCTTGCAGTGTGATGGATGGAAGTGGGAAGGGGTTAAACTGTTGCCTAAGGACAAATTTCAAGCATTTTCTCAGTGAAATTTTACTAAAGACCATCTAGAGGCTGGCACTGCCTGTGGGTGTCTGTGAATGGAGACAGAGAACAGACTGGGTTGGAGTTAGACTGGGGTCAGACAGGAATTGGATTGGGTTTCAGTGTATGGATAGAGACAACTTAGGTTATCCCTATGGTTGAGGCCTAGTCTGTGATGGGAGGTCAGGCTACAGTTACGATTTTGTTGGGGGCTCTGAGTCGGGCCTGGGTTCATTTTGAGGAGTCAGGCTATGGCTGAAGATTGAGATTTTGTCATTTTCCCGAGGCTCCAGCTCTGTTCTTGACTCAGATGGTAAGACCATAGGTTATTCTTTATCCCTTGTAAAAGGTGACATGGTGTCCACACGGCAACCTCCATTGCCCTGTGCTCTTTACCTCAGGTGCACTGAAGCTCTTGTAGCTTTCCAAACAAGGTCTGTTCTCTTTCACTTTGAGTCTTTGCCTATACCAGAATGCATTTTCAATAAACAAGACAAAACAAAGCAAAACAAAGCAAAAAACCCCAGATCT